TATCCAGAGCACTGAGGGCCTTGGGGCTTTATGGGAAGCCTAGAAGCTAGGAGAAAGGTGGTCTCACCAGCTGGTTTCCATTTCAGTCCAGAATGCAGGAACTTTCGCTGGGCTGCAGAGCTCCCTGTTTTCCTTAAGCACACGGCCCGCCTGTTACGGCGCCTCACTCCTGCTTTCCCTCCACAGCCTCGGTGGCTTGGGCCGCAATATCATCCTCACCACCATGCCCGCGGGTACTAAGCTCATTGCTGGCAATAAGCCTGTGAGTTTCCTCACTGCCCAGCAGTTGCAGCAGCTTCAGCAACAAGGTCAGGCCACACAGGTAAGGGCCAAGGCGAACTGCTGGCCGTATCGGGCTTGTCTCCCCTTTGCTGTTTGTTGGCGACTGCGGAGCTCGTTTGCGACCTCCTGACCAGACCCTCTCTCTTTGCACACAGGTGCGCATCCAGACTGTGCCCGCATCTCATCTTCAACAGGGGACAGCTTCGGGTTCCTCCAAAGCAGTCTCCACTGTCGTTGTGACCACAGCTCCATCTCCTAAACAGGCACCTGAACAGCAGTGATTCGGGGCGAGAGAGGCGGCGTCCATGCACGCACGCACCTGGGTCTGCCCTCCTGGCCGAGATGAGGGGAGCAGAGGGGGGGCATCGTTCTTCTCAGCTTGTCTGGTTAGGGAAGGCCGGCAGTGGGATGATGGCATCAGTGGCCTGGAATCTGCCGCCACACTCCACAGCGGAGCACACCGAGAAAAGTCCCCTCCAGGCTTCCAAGGGCTGTTCTGTTCCGATCCGGGAGAAGCTCCTCTGTTAGGGTTGGGTGAGGTCACTGTTGGGCCCCACGAGCCCAGTTCTCTTCTGGAGAGCCAGACGCCGGGGAAGGCTCACAGCCGCAGAGCGTGCACACCGGCAGGAAACCTCGTTCTCTGTGGGGATTGGGTTTTTTAGCTTCTGCTCTTCTCTGTGACTAGTGGTCTAGATAGGAGTTTTTGTGTCCAGAAATTTTTATGTAACTTATTTTTTTAAGGAACCTGTTGTACATCTTTATCCAAGAGAAACCTGGGCTTTAGCCCTCTCCCCCCGCCCCCCCGCCCCCCAAACTGATTACTTATTCTTTTGACCAGAATGAGAGAATAGCAGGATTCTTAGTAAGTTGGTGGCTGACTTGATCACTACATAGTAATGGGGAGGCTGTAAGGTGGGCAGGGAATCCTAGGGAACGAGAGAGTATGGGTTCCCCGAAATGGGAGGAGTTTGGCATCGCCTCATAAAGACGAGGTATCGGGATCTTGATTGTGGTCTGTATCTTCACCTGCTGACTTTGTCGTCCTTGTCAAGCCTGTTCACACCAAAGTCCAGAGCCAGTGGACAGAGTAGGCAAGCAGCAGCAGAGATGCTGCTTTTGCAGCTCAGACCGTATTGCAGTTCAGAGATTGTATGTTCTGCTTTGCTCCAGAGCAAGTCTGCAAACCACAGCCCTGGGGCTGGCTACCAGTTTTTGTAAATAAAGTCTTATTGGAACACAGCCCCTGGCCGTTTGTCTATGTATTATCCATGGCTGCTTTCAGTTAGAAGGCAGACCTGAGTCATTGCCATAGAGTTCATATGGCCCTTAGGCCTGAAATATTTATGTCCTTAGGCCCTTTAGGTAAAACTTTGCTGACTTCTGCTCCAGGGTAGAGACGGCAAGAAGAGAGTGGGTGTGCGCACCAGGCCGCTTGGTCACAGGAGAGGTCAGTCAGGATTTACTAGTCCTTTCATCCTGGCTGTGTCCCCCTTCTCAGCCTCTACCAAGCTCTAGGCAGAGCTCCGAACAATATTGGAAAATCTCGTGGTAAAGCCCTGGTTGTTAACAACATAGGCCTCTTTTGTAGGGGAGCAGGGGTTGGATGGTGGAGCTTTCCTGCAGGGTCAGAGCTTCCCTGTCTCTCTTGAGAGTGTCCAGATTATTAAAAATGTGTCTTTAATCTGTGGAAATTCAGAGATGATCTTTTATTTTTTTTCTGGCAAGGAAGTGGAGTTGAGGGGCAGAAAATTTCCGTGGCCTAATGTAGAGGGGGTTGCCAGGTGGCTGCTGAGTGATGAGACAGGCTGCAGAGGAGCAGGGAAGGTCATAGTGGCTGGTGGCTTTCTGGACATCGCATTTGATTCTTGAAGCAGTTCTGTGAAATAGACCGCATTATCCTTCTTCTGACTTCTCATCCCTGTGACAGATTGCAGGTCTGAGTTGGGGTTAAAGAGAAGCAAGATGTAAATCCAGTCTTCCGATCCTTTCTGCTGCCTTCCTAGGGGAGGGTGGCTGTGATGTGTCATGCTGAGAGGTGGGGACAGTTGGAATTGGGGGAGTAAGCCCAGGTTACAGAGTGCCGAGGTGAACTGGCTGAGGGGTGACTGAGCTTTTGCTTGTAGTGGGGGGCTGGCACAGAAGTCAGACAGGGGAGGGGGAGAGGTAGGGACTGCCATGAAGGAAAAAAATGGCCTTTTAGCTGAGTAGAGGAGAGGGCATCTGTCCTTTCCAGGACTTTGATATTTGCACGTCATTGCTTCCTAGAGTCACATTTCACATGAAGGGTCCGAGTGACAGTTTCTAAATGAGAAAACGGTAGACATTTGAGGGATCCTGTCTCACGTATTTATTGCTAGTTAAAACAAACCTTTCTCGAAGTTACTTAACAAGTGATTGCATGAAAGTAGTTCCGACATTCAGCCCTGCCCCACTCTTTTATTTACTGAAGTCACCTGGCTGTGTCTGTCTCCTTAGTGCCTGGAGACATTTACCTGCCAGCTCAGAGAACAGAGAAGTTTCCGAATGCTAGTGTGGGACTGGCTCCCTGCTGAGTACGATTTGGTACCGCCCAGCCTGTCGGTAGGGTGCTGAGGAAGGGCAGCCCCTGCTGGAGTTGTTCAAGGGATGTCAGCAGCATTTGCTTCAAACATGGCCCTTGGATATAGACCTCAAGGGTCTTGTAGAGATGTGAGAGCTATGGCAGATGTTTTGGGGGAACATGCCCAGAAGAACTTGGAGCCCTTGAGCCTCCGCACCTAAGGTTCAGAGGTTGGTAAAATTATTCAGACCGTGTGCCTAAGACTGGATTTGGTGACTAGCACTGTGATGGGTTTGTACTTTAATACCACATCTAAGAAGGTTTTTCTCCAGGATTGATCAGTTCCATGAAGGTATCCCAAACCGTGATACGAAAGGGGCATCACAGTAAGTTTCAGTGTTGCCTATCTGATCTTCACACCTCAACCCCTCACTCTGCAGAAAATACATTTCCTTACCGTGTACTGCACTACCCCACCCCATCCACCCGCAGCGATCTTTACAATGAAAGGAACACTGTGAATAGGTTCCTTACCCCCACCTCCAGTCTCTTCGGGAAAGAATATGTTTTTATGTTAATTGCCCATAATGGGTCCTCCAGTATTTAACTGAATGGATGTTTGGGTTCCTACTTAGCAGGCAAACAAAACTGGATCCTGAAAGGGGACCCACAGGTTCTCTTCTCATAATTAAATCCCATTTTCAAGTAGCTAATTCTTAATCCCTGAGATGTAACTTCAGCACTGAAATGCTAGCTAACCGTGGGAGGTCAGCTCTCACGCAAGTACAGCATTTCTGCCGAAGAGCACATGGTGCTGTGTGTCGAAGATCTCTGCCGTATCTGTGTGAAGTAGCTGGGGGGGCTCTATCGAGAAGTAAGCTGGCTTTGGAGTCTTGAAGGCTGGCTCTGCGACTTCATAGCTCTGTGACCTTTGGCTCATCAACTTCTCTGCAGAACCGAATGTGCTTCCATTATAGGTGGTTGTGCGAATCACATGGGAGACGGTGCCTGTCAGTGTGTGTGAGGTGCTGCACACACGAATGATAGGTTGGTCTGGAAGACCTTTCCAGTTTGTCCTAGCCCACTTCTGTCAGTTTGTGGAACTTAACTAACTCTCCGTGTTCCTTCATGATTTCATGGTCACTGTGCTTCCTGTTCTCTATGCCCGGAACATGTTTCTCCAGGGCAGACTCCCCATCTCCTCCCCTCCCTCACATTCATGGTAGTTGTACTTACCCCTTATGGCACCAGTCACCCTGTAGGTAACTGCATCTCTCTCCCGTTAAGACTGTGAATTCCTGGCTGACAGGTATCTCAGTAATCCTTCCAACCATTTCAGTGTCGGTGCCAAGTAGATGTTTAATAAATATTTGTTGAAGGAAGTTTTATAAAAAAAAAAAAGAAAGAAAGAAAAAACATCCAGAACCAGGATTACAGTGTCAAGACTTTATATTACTATTTCAAGATCCACATCCTTTGCAGGATTCTTACCCTTTGCTTTCAGCTGTATTTAAATTCAGGGTCTTCAATAACCTGCCATTTTTCTCTCTACCTCATTATACAGACTTCCTGTTAGCATCTTCTTGTGAGGGTACTTTTGAGGACCCAGAACATCAGTGTTCCAGCTCTCAGCTGGGCCACTAACTAGCTTCCTGGTTTAAAAAAAAAGTCCCCTTTGGCCTAATGTCATCACTTACGAGTAGTATTGCAGTACTCTGGAATATTAATGGTTAATTAAGAAATGTTTAACAAGTAATATTTAAAGTACCAAAGCTTATAAATTGTTTTACTTAAAAAAAAAAATGTGCTAGAATTGTATCTTTAAAATAAAGGCAGTCTCAATTTCTGATAAGCTACCTGTTTTCTTCAGAAAAGAGTAAGTTATCAAAAGCAGTATTTTCTGCTGGATTCATATCCTGGATTCATCCATGAGGCCCCATCCCGTTCTGAAACTTTCAGAGTCTTTGATTTCTCTTCATACTGGGACACAAAGGCTTGCTTCATTTTTCTTTATGAAGGATACCATAGCAACAGAGACTTTAGTCAGTTAAATGAGAAGGTGCAAATATATAGAACCTTAAGAGCAGACCAGAGCAAGCATTGAAACGGAGATGAGCTACCCCTTTGCACACTCTAGCTGTTCGGACTCAAAGGGGCTTGTCCACCCCGCATTGATGACGGGTGGCCTCCCTTATTCCTCATCTGAGCCACTCAAGAGGGCAGTCTGGTAAGTGTGATCTGACTTCAGCTTCCGAATGCCAATGATTTCTCCTCCGTGCCTCTTTAACCGAGTCAAATGGCTGTAATAGAACAACAATAAGAGCGCAGGAAATTAGCCCCCGAATGCCCTTATTCTCTCAACCAAGGATGGTTAAGGCATGCACTGGTTCTTAAAGCATTTTCTTTATATGTCTATCAAACATATAAAGAAACCACAACGTGGTTGTCTGCATATCTTGCTTCTTGGACACTATTCATTGGTAGATAATTAATAATATTTAATGGTTAATGTCGTAGCAGACTAAACATAGGTCTTCTGTCTCCCAGCTTATTGTTTCACTGACCAGGCAGAAGAACTAAAGGAAACTGACCTTAAGTTCCCTTCTGTTTGGTCTGCATGAAACTTGTGTGTGTGTGAAGTAGATCTGCTTTGGGGAGGGAAATCAGAAACTAGGAAAACGAGGGGCAGCTACAACAGAACTAATTATTAGCATATCGAAAAAGTCACTCGCACCGCAGTTCAAGGCCAGGTCTGCTGTTGACTCATAGGGTGACCTCGATCAAGTTACTCAGTCTTTGAAGCCTTGGTTTCCCGGTCTGTAAAACGTTACAGCACATACTTCATAAAATAATGAGGATTCAGTGGGGTAATAGACATGAGGTTCTTACCGCAGGGCCCGGGACAGTGAGTGCCTGGGAATGAATGGTCAGCTATTCTAGTAACCGCTGACGAGCACTTGAAAGAGCACTTGCTGTTACAGCATCGTATCTGATTGCCACATCTCTGGGAAGGAGGTGGGGCAAATCCAGGAATAAGGTGATGGGCTCAAAATGATGGACAGTGGGGTCTGTAGTCCAGCACTGATGCCTAATTCAGAGTTTTTCCTTTCACAGTGCAGGCTTCAAGTCCACCAGAACTGCCTTTGAAACCTGGGTCTGTCAGGTGACGGGGACCAGACAGTCCTTTAACTTCTCAGAATCTCATCACCCTCATTTGCAGACCTGGGCGTACAGTTGGCACTCAAAAAGTGGTCGAAGTTAGCACTGCTTAGTTATGAAAGGTGGGTCACTGGAAGTAAAGATGATGTAGTGTAGTAGATTTTGGGGACCGAGGGGTTGTTAGGAAGAACCAGACAGAATTTGTCTTCCCTTGGACATACCAGAAAACGAGTGAGTAGCTGATGGCCACAACGCAGAGGGCAGCCAAGTAGTGCCAGCAGAAGCACATGGTGACGAACATGAGGTTTGCGTCATCTTTCTGGTCCCATTCGGGTCCTCCAAACGGTGGGAACAGCACAAACCCGATCTGGGGGGTTATACAGAGAAGCCAGCCTTAGTTGGTCCTGAGCAGCAAGCTCGCCTCTCCCCGCGGCTGCCCCTGCTGCTGTACATCCCCCACTGCCTCCTCTTGCCCATACCCCTGGGAACACAGAAGGGCCTTTTGCATAGGAAAATGGCTCTAATTCTGGCTTTAGTATGGGCTTACTTAAAACCACATTTCAGGGGCCTATAAACAAACGGTATCCATGCCTCCGCTAGGGAGGGCACGCGGGCTCGCTCTGTATGCTGCATGGGATCCGCCTGTCAGCTCGTCAGCAAGGTACTACTGGATGAAATGGCCTAAGTCGGGGGCTAGGCACGGGAAGACCAGTGGTCCTCCACAGCCCTTCCTGTGGTGTATGTCAGTGCTGGCCCTGCAGGACCTGCCTTGTACAAGCTCTGTGGGGCTCCTGGAATGCACACAAGGTGAAGAGCACCGTTTTGAATAATTACCTGCCAGAACCAGGTGCCCTGAAGAATAACGAGACTGGTTCGGAAAAGTTGCAGCACAATATTGTCCCGGAGGACCACCTCTACAAAGATGCTGAAAGCCCCTCCGAACACCGCACACAGCAGGAGTGAGTGGATGTGCTGGTCCAAGGGTGGTCGGTTGTGGACGTGGTAGTAGAAGAGAAAACCTGCACAAATCAATTTCGGCCATCATGGGTTTGCTGCCTTCTGCTTCAAAGGCTTCATCTGCACTGTTACCATTCCTAGAATGCCCTCCTACGCCTGTCTCAAAGCTAGATTTTTCAGCAGTTAAGAAGTCAGTTTATATAACATTACGGGGCAACAGACACAGATTAGATTTATTTCGTGTATGTATGAAGTGGATATGTGCTGCAAAGGATGGATCTTTTAAAATCTCTTTACTCGGTACATGATGCGTAGGTGAAACATGCTGATTTGTGACAAATTTGTGTGTGTACTTGAAATTCAGTTTTGCCCTCATTTGACTCCCCCCCCCCCCCACCCCTAACTCTTCCTGAGGTACAGATGCAAGTAAGGTTGTTGGATTACAAAATGCTTTTTCCTTACCCCGGTTAATATGAGTTATATTGGGAAATCTGTCCTAGCTGCTTGGGTGGGTCTCCTGAGGTTTGTCATGGAGTCCAGACAGGAACATCCCGGGTGGGAGGTGGAGTGCAGTTTCTCTTCCCTGAACAAAGCGAGTTATCCTTATGCGTGGTGGCATCCAGGCAGGTTTTGGAGAGTTACTGTGTGTTTCAGCGTGGAAGTGCACACATGCTCTCATACACATGAACGTGATGGGGGAGGGGGCAGGGAGAGTTTGTGCACCGAGATCCAGAGACTTCGGCTGAAAGCCTTAGGTTTTCATGGGCTCTTTTAAGGATTATGTCCCCTGGATCCTCCAGAGCACAGGACCAAGTCCTGAATCAGGTGTCTGAAATTCAGAGATTCGGATTTTCTGGGGAAAGTTATTGTATTTGCAGTATTTCTGGTCTCCCTATCCTGATCCATCATAAACACAATTTGTCAGTCTCTTGCATTGTTTTTTCCATCCGTACCACTAAGTTACCTTCAGTGAATACTGCCACAGCCATAACCAGTCTGTCCAGCCCCAGGGGAACGTGGCTGACAAGACAGGTGAGCATATCCACGATTCCCGAGACTGCGAAGAATAAATACATGGTGCTGTGCTGCCAGTTCATTAACTTGCACCACTCGTTTTCATGGTACAGGTGGAGGTGGGGCCCGTCCGGAACAAACTGCTCGGCCAGGATCCCTGCAGGGGGTGAGAGTGGAAATTGAAGTCAGGAAGGAAGTTGAGACATGGGTGAATGTGGCCTCCAGTTCAGTGCACCTCCTTTACTCCCTCAGATGCAGCTACTTCAGTGTAAGATGCATTTGCCGACGAACCTGTGTAGATATCTTGCCTCTGTTGTTCCTTTGGGGGTCAGGGTGTGGAGAGAAGAAGCGATAGAAACAGCCACACGGGTCCCTGGGATATTTGTCTAGTGGCTGAGCTGAAAGCAAGGCATAATCACTTAAGTGAGAATGTGCTTGATACATGAATCTTTGGGCTAAGTGAGCAGTGAGAGAAATCCCAGAACGAAACCATTAGGTTGAAAATAATGGGATCTGAGCAGAGACACCCTACACTGGTGGGGAAGATAGTGGTGCACGCCCGAGGGGGGAGCAGCGGCTCCCAGGTGTATTTTCGTCGGGGCAGACTTCGAGTGAGTGGTTTTCCTGAGCACAGAGTGCGCTCTGTGAGCCGAGTCCTTCCCATAGCTTTAGGTCTCTGTACCTAAATACCGGGAGAACCAGGTGAAGGCCTGTCACCGCGGTGTTTCTGGCCATACTGTGTCTTATGAAAGGCAAGCCTTTGAGACAGTGGCTCGTAGTTCTTAGCCCTTCTACTTCATCATCTGTTTTGGAAGGCAAAAGATAGGTCTTTATGCCTGGTGCTCAAAATGTTCTTGGGGCCTAGAATAATCCTCCATGACAGCATTCTGGACCCTGTTCCCCAAACATTTTTTTCTTAAACCCAGCCCCTTCCCGAATTTATATGTGAGGGATCAAGGAATTGGTGGAAAGGACCCGGGAGAAGAAATCCCACTGATACTAGAATGGGAGCTCTGCAAGGGCAGGGACTCTGCTTGGTTCCCCACTGTATCCCCGAGACCCGGAATAGTGAGGTCCTGCTGGGTAGGAGCTCAGGAGATCTTGTGGAATGAGCAGTAGCTTCACCCAGCAAAGAGGCCAAATACTTTTCTAGCTCTGTTTTTCTAGGCAGCATTGATGCTGTCCTTAGCATTTAAGCTGTATAGTTCCCATCACCTCGACTCCAGAAAGACAAGATGCCTGACTGACTGGTGATGGGAAGAGTCAGCGGGGCTGGGCAAACAAAGCTGGGTGCCTCTGCTCACTCCAAGAGGGACGACTGGTGTTGCTTCGGTTCCTTCTGAGACGCTGTGGGCCTAAGGTGAGAAGTGGCAAAATGCAGTTGCAGAATAAAGTTCCTCGTTACCCCCATGCTGGGCGGATCCTGAGAAGAACACTCTCTAGTGTTGGCGCAGTGGGCCCCTTCTCATGTGGCCAGTAGTGGAGTGGATGACGAGTCACAGTGGAAGTGCGTGGGTTTTGTTGGAACAGGGCACAGTAAAGGAAAATTCCTTTCCAATAGCCCTCTGCTGGCTTTCTTCAGTTTCTTCCAATGCCTCTCTTACTGGTCCTCTAGCATAAAGTCCCCGTCTTTGTAATTGCTTGAGATATGGGGATGGAGGATATGCCAAGGAATTAGGTGGTAGCTACTCTTGAGATTCTAGTGGAGAGACAACTGGGAAAAAAAGATGATTTTTCTAAACTAAACTGCATTTAGTACTTTGCTAATTCATGTACATGAGCTTACTCTATTATTTTTTCTATTATGTTTTATCTTTTTCATCAGGTATGTCTTCTCTTCCTACAACTTATACCTATGTCCTTCTAGGGCGAAGAATGTAGTTTATTTGGTAGTTTTTCACGGTGCACTATGGTGTAAGGTGCTATTAACTGTTAACAGTAACAAAGCTCAGTACACAATAGATACTATAAAATATGTAGTGGCCCACTGAAAATCCTTTTTATTATCTGCCAGTGGAAGCATTCATTTCACAGGATCCAGAAAATGGGTTAACGTTTCTGGGTGTGGTGGGGAGATCCCTTGGACCAGATGACCGCCTTCTTACCAATGACTGAAAACAAGGTTCTGATTGCGGCTTCAGTGATCTCGAGACACTGATGGTAATGAGTCAGTCGGCTGCTTTTCCCCTTCTGGTGAAAGTACATCAGTGGGTACTTCACTGACCACCACAGTCCAACTATCAAGAAGAAGCTCCCTGGGAGAGCATGGCCCTTAAAGTTTGCCATCGGTGTTCTTCAGCACCTAAGAAAATAGGGGACAGCTGTCAGGTGGCTGAATGAAGAAAACATAAATGGATATTTTAGCAGGAAACACATGTGACTGAGGATTCCAAATCATAAGCCGTATGAAGAAGGACCCACTCTTTCTCAGGGGCGCTCACTCAGCAGACAAGACTTCAAGGACATAACATGAAGGCTTATTTTATGAGGACTACTCCAACCCTGGCCGTCAGGACTTCCACCCCCTCACTGGCTACATGGGCTGCTTCACATCTGATACATTTACAGTTGAGCTTTCCACCCTTCCTCAAGAACTTCCACAAGTTTTAAAAAACAAGTCAAATCGTATTTAAAAGGCTTCTACTGAAAAGCAGCAGTCACGTGCTCCATCCCTCCTCACCCACTAGTGAAACCACTTTAATCCCTTTCCACTGTTTCTTCTGGTATTTGCTGCCTGGATTCTCGTTAATTTGTGCAGGCAGCCATTTGCTCGTTTATCTTTGTCAGGCATTATCTACCAGCTTCCTGGAGTTCTCTCTCCTCCTCAACCCTTCACGTTCACCATAGTCACATGATGTTCATTTGCTTCAATCATTAGTTTCATTATTATGGCTCTGTAGATCCAAAGTCCTTACCAGGGCCCATAAGCCCTAGTGATCCCAGCTATCTCTTTGACCTCTCCGACCTACCCCCCAGCCCTGCCACACGGGGCCCCTTCCCTGGCCTTCCATTTCCAAGCACGGATAGTTCGTGCTTCAGGGCTTGGGCTGTCTGTTATTTCCAGCAGCTTCCCCCAGAGCCAACAGGTCTCTCCTTCACTTTACTCAGGTTGCTGTTCAAATGTTACTCTAGTCCTGGGCTACTTTGTATGAAGTAGCAGGCATGTCCCACTTTTCAATCCAGGTATACTTTTTTTTTTTTTTAAGAATTCATTCATTGTATGTTTATTATTCACAGCTGATCACTACCTACCAAATAGTATCCAGGTATACTTCTAAATTTTCTTTAAAGCATGGATCACTATCTGATATTCCATATTGGTTTTTTTTTAAACATCCAGCTCTACCCACTGGAATGTAAAGTCCCTGAAAGTAGGGATTTGATCTGTTTTGTTATTGCAGTTAGCCACGCACTTACAGTTGGGTCTGAAAGAGTAAGCACTCAAATATTTGTGGAACAAATACATGCGCATCCAAGTGGTATATTATGGGTTATGTTTTCACCATTTTTGTTTTTTTTTAGAGCTGTTTTAGGTTTACAACAAGATTGAGAGTAAGGTAGGGAGATTTTTCACATACCCCTTGCCTGCGCACATGCATAGTCTCACCATTATTGATATCACTCACTTGAGAGCAAGCATTGGGTGGGAAGGGCAGAAGGAGAGGGAAAAGCAGGCTCCCCGCTGAGCAGGGAGCCTAATGTGGGGCTCGATCCCAGAACCCCAGGATCATGACCTGAGCTGAAGGCAGACGCTTAACGGACTGAGCCACCCAGGCGCCCCTAGGGTTCACTCTTGATGTTGTGCATTCTGTGGGTTTGGACAAAATTATAATGACATGAATCCATCATTATAAATATCACACAGTATTTTCACTACCCTAAAAATTCTCTGTGCTCTGCCTGTTCATCTCTCCCCCTCCCCCACCCGACACCACCCCTTTTTACTGTCTCCATAGTTTTGCTTTTCCTAGAATGTCAAATGTCGGCATCATAAAGTGTGTAGCCTCTTCAGATTGGCTTCTCTCATTGAGTAATATGAACTTTAGTTTCCTCTGTGTCTTTTCATGGCTTGATAGCTCATTTCGTTTTAGCACAATATAGTTAACATGTGTTATATTAGTTTTAGGTGCACAATATAGCGATGCAACAAAAAAATACGAACGCTTCACAAATTTGCATGTCATGCTTGTGCAGGGGCCATGCTAATCTTTTCTGTATCCTTACAGTTTTAGTATCTGTGCTTTCAAAGTGAGCATTAAATAGTCTCACATTTTCCAGGAAATAGAGACAGATATATAGTCTTTTATATTTAATTACATATTTACCATTTCTAGTGTTCTTCCTTCCTTCCTGTGCATTTGAATAACCCTCTAATCTCATTTACTTCCAACATAAAGGATATCCTTTAATATTTCTTATAGAGCAGTTCTCCTACCAATGAATTCTTTCAGTTTTATTTATCTGGAAATATCTTTATTTCATTTTCATTTTTGAAGAATAGTTAGGTTGGATATAGAATTCTTAGTTGGCAGTTTTTCCTTTCAACACTCTAATTATGTATTCCATTGGCTTCTGGCTGATGAGAAATCAGCTATTAATCATACTGTTTTTCCCCAGTGAGTTACTTTTTTTTCTTGCTTTCAAGTTTTTCCTGTAATCTTTGGCTTTCAGCGGTGTGACTATGATATATCTTTTTGTGGGTTCTTTATGTGTTTTGTTTTATTTTTTGATCTTGGCTGAGCTTCTTGGGTCCGTAGTTTAATATTTTTCATCAAACTTGGGAAGTTTTCAGCCATTAATTTTTCAATTATTTTTTCTGACTCCCCCCCTCTCCCCACCCCCCATTTTCCCTGCTCATTCCCGTGTTTAACCCAGAGCCAAGGATTTTCAACCGCCCCCCCCCATCACCACCCTGTATTGCATCTGTTTCCCATGGCAGCAAAACTACTTGTTTTCATAGCTAGTACCACATTACTTAAAAGTCATTGGCTGAGTGAGGGGATAATGGCAGTGGCCTCGGGCAGAAAGGCCTTGGCCTCCAACTGTTTTACCTGAGGGTCTAGTAGCTTTTCAAAAACAAAAGCTTCTGTTGCGAGTTTAGCTGAACTACTCCAGAATATTGCTGTCTCCTCCTCCATTTCATGTGGCCAACTGGCCTGCAGGGGCCTTGACCTGGTATGAGCTCCTCCTGCGAGCATACCCGAAAGAACAACTGCAGAGTCATGAGTATGCGGAAGTTCCTGATATGACTTCCCCAATGGTCTCCCCCATCTCCCAGGGCCTTTCCCTTGTGTACCCCTTAAATAAGACCCCTGTGAAGCTGACCAAAACCTTGTTCTTTCTGGTTTGAACTGACCAATCCAGGCTTAGCCTGGGCATCCCAAGGGCTCCACTTGTGGACCCTCATAAAGGTATGTGTGCCAGGTCCTGTCATTCTCTCTACCTGCACTCTGCCTTCACCTCCCAGGTGGCCCCTTGGGGCATGCCTTGTACTTCTCCAGGACCTTTGAGAAATAAAATTCTCTATTTTGATAATAGTCTTTTGTTGAACAGAGACTCACCATCAGACACCCCAGGACTCTACTTAACAAATGTTAATTTAACAAAGTCAGAACAGCTTCTTAATTTGTTGTCTGACTTTGGTCAATTTCCAGTTCCTGGAAATGGCTGGTTTTGACAATTTTGTCTAGTTTTATACATTTTTTGTTTGTTTTTTGCTTTTGCAGAAAGAAATTGCCTATCTATTCATGCTGCCATAACTGGAAGGCTCTCTTCTCATTCTTCTTAAACCCTATATTGATCAACATAAAAAAAAGGCCTCCATTTTCATTTAATGTCCCTTTAATGTCCCCCCATGGCCTCAGGCAGAAAGGCCATGGCCTCCAACTGTTTTACCTGAAAAGGCCTAGGGGCGCCTGGGTGGCTCAGTGGTTAAGCATCTGCCTTCGGCTCAGGTCATGGTCCCAGGGTCCTGGGATCGAGCCTGCTCTGCAGGAAGCCTGCTTCTCCCTCTCCCCCTGCTTGTGTTCCCTCTCTCGCTGTGTCTCTCTCTGTCAAATAAATAAAGTCTTTAAAAACAAAACAAAAAAACAAAAGTAAAAGGCCTGTTACAGGTCCCTTTCATGATCAAGCCTGTTATACTCCCTTGTTTTCTTAGCCAGAAGTGCAGAAAAACCAGCTTTGCAAATCCTTCCTGTCCTTCCCCATTTTTTGAGGAGCAATACCCTGAATAAAGGCAGAGTCCTTTCTGTTCGTATGAATTTGTCAAGCCCCACCCTCCCCTTTTACCTGGTTTCAGATTCACATCAGTGAATGCAGGGCCTGCAGCATGTCTGTAGAAACCATTTCTAAAATTACTTATGCTACTTGGAAGGCTAGAGTACCTTGATTTGGTGAGGGAGAGGAGCAGGGAGGTAGATTTCTTCCAATAACCAATTATTAGATTAGTTTATTTGATTACCTCATAGGACATGTGGTAGAAATATAGGATGGGTCAGTTTTAATTAGGAGGCACAAGGCAATAACCAACTTCAAATAGAAAAATAAAAATTTAAGATTTCTAATAATTTGGATAACACCATTCAAATAGGTTAAGTCCCTGAGAAGTCTAGCTTTAAAAAAAAATTTAAAAAATAAAAAGCAAATGTTTAAGGGATAAGCTCTTTAGAATTACACTATAAACTACTTCAGCGGCACCTGGGTGGTTCAGTCAGTTAAGCGTCCAACTCTTGATTTCAGCTTTTTTTTTTTTTTTTTAAGTAGGCTCCACAGGGCTTGACCTCACAACCCTGAGATGTAAAAAGAAAAAAAAAAAATTCAATTTAAGGAAAACCCACAGAGGAAAACATCAGAAAAGTGCTTCTGCAAAGACAAGCTTCCTTTATTTTAATATATTTGCTCTTTTTTGATATTATATGAGATAGAGTGTGAAGGGAGGGCTGAGTGTTTTGGAGAGGTGGTAGCTTTAAGTTAAAGCTGGCAGATGAGAAGACTAGTGGTTTGGGCAACTTTTCATGTCCTGTCTAAGGAGATCACTGGAAAAGGAACAACATTTGCGTAAGAGGTTTGACATGCTTTTCCTTGTCCTCTTTATCTTTAACCATTCCCCCGTCTACATTCTCTAATTTTAATTTGAGATAAGGAAATGAAATGGAAGACAAGTTAAAGATGCCCAGAAGAGAAAAAGGAGGGAAGAGTAAGGAAGAGTAGGAGACAGGGAAAGAGGAGGACTGGAGAGTCACAGAGTAGAGGGAGGGAGCAGAGGAGAAATTACGCTTGACGTAGTTTGCCTGTGGTTTAAAA